TGGATCAGATGATTGAACATGAATTGCTTCCCAGGGGGGCCCCGAAAAGTTCACGAGCCCATATATATATATATATTTGATATTTTTCTGCAGCAGCTAGCATCCATTTCTGCTTAGCCCTATATGCCTCCTTGGTTATCGTTGAGGCATATGGCATACTGGCATTGTAGCTTTTGGCCGTGAGTACTGGTTTGGTGGGAAGGCCGAGGAATTTGCGGTTTGACACTTGCTGGAGGTTCTGGGTGGGCATGGTATGCCATCGGTTCTGAGTTCTGATGTTTGCAGAAAAAGAGTAAGCAAAGGTCTAAAGATTGGTGAAATGAAAAGGGAACAACAGTTACTGTGTATATATATAATGCAAGAAACACAGAGACATGACATACTGAAAATAGAGAAACACAATATTTTCCTGAGCAAAGACTCAGACCTGCAGGTCTTGGCATCTGAGCCTGGCAAGGCGCCGTTTGCAGGACCTATTCGTCGCCAGCTTGGATGTGCCCACACCAGCGTCACACCGGCACAGGATCTTGAAATTACCCTCTTCACACACTACTTTGATGGAAGTCTGAAGTGCATAGAAGTTCAGAGCGTGATTGCTGTAAATTAATGGAGCGGAGTGTGTTAGAGTTTCTTTTTCCAAGGCTGCACAGAGCTTGGCACCACCTTGAACACCAAAGAGGAACTGGAAGACTGGCTGCGCTTTGATGTGGTTTCGAGGCAGAACAGTGACATTTGGCAACTCCTAGTTTTACCGGGTATACCACCTGCGCTTGTGTAGGTACACTCGGGAGAGCTATGATGTCCTCTCACACAACTGTTTGGCACCTTGTGGCTGAGATTGGTCGAACCTGCTACCGTAGACAGCTGAGGCAATCACTTTTCTGATGAGGTTGCAGGATTTCTGATTGAGGTTCGGGAGCTTCTGATCGGTTCACAGCGTAGCATTGCTGCAAAGAGACTGTTTGTTGCATGCAAAACGTGCCACGCAGGGCTGCCACATCCCAGATGAAGCCCGCCGGCAGCCAGAGGCGATGCCATCAAGAGGGTTTGCTTCTTTCGTTTAGAAGATTCATTGACGGACGTGATTGCGATTGCTGACGTATTGTTGATTCATTGATTCTTGCAACAATGGCACTTTCAAGTACAGAAAAAGAAGAAAACCAAAGAGACGTTGCACTTCTCTGCAGGTTGGCATAAAAAGCGCTTCAAATCAATACGGATCTTGGCAGATCGACCTTGTGTTATTGTGTTGTCTCTTTGTAAGGCATTGATGGGGACTTCGACCATCAACGTGGTGCGCCCGTGAGGGACCCAGAAGCCAATTGGCCAACGCTGCACTTGATGCTTTACCGTCAAAAGAGTCAAGGTGTGCTGGTGAACTTGCTTTAGGCTTCTTTAGTCCTTAGCCTTGTTTGGGTGGAGGTCAGCTGTGGTACGGGAGGGTAAGGTGTGGTATGGTCTGGTAAGGTAGCTAGAAGCAAGAATGTTCCACTGATAGCAGCAGGACGCAGAAGAACGCAGAAGAATGGTTCCTAGATTTTCAAGAAAATGAAGCATCATGTTGGAACACCTGTGAACTCAGATGACCAACCAATGCCAGAAGTCAAAACTCTCAAAAGAGATGACTGTGAAGAGCTCGAAAAGCAATTCCTGTTGTTAACAGAGTTTGCAGAACTTCAACATATTCTTTACTGTAACACCTTAACCTTTCTCAAATGCAAACTCCCGCTAAGGTGAAATGTCGTCATAGGCAACTAGAAATCCTCCTTTGTCCGTGTTTTTACCTGTCAGCCGGGTGCCATCACGACTCCCGCGAACGACACACGTTTTGGGCTCCAGCAATTGCATGCGGGCAGCCTATCACCACCAGCGTAACTTTGCTCTTTTGGCATTCTGCACGTTTGACAGAAAGTCAAGGCAGTGACAAGTGATTTACACCCCCAAGAACGCACTGATTTTTGACACCCTTTTCTTTTTGAGGCGAAAAGAGAACAAACGTCAAGAAAGAGGATGATCCAAGAGAAATCTCAGGGCAATCGACTTACTGTAGTTTGGAAGTAAACGAAAACAGCAACAAGAATGACAATGAGTTGGAATCAGTGAATCAGACAGCCGATTTGTAAGGAACAAAGGAACAAAAGTGCATGAAGAGGTGATCGAAAAGAATCAACAGCATATGCAGCATACCAGAGAAAAATGAAACTATAACTACTGTAACAGAAAAGCAACCCCAAAATCCAATTCACTCCTGGGTTGTACTTCTGGAAGAGAAGTAAGGGAGGTGAGCGCAACTTGCCACTACTTTGGTGTCTGCTAAATACACAAGTTTCAGCCAGCTTCATTGTCAAATTCTGACACGAACCTCGCCCCCATTCGAGCTTTACACTCCTGGAAACATGCGATTTGAATTTGTTTCTGGTATAGTCTGTTTTTTGCATCCGTTGATTCTGCAGAATGCCCCGAAGTTGCCATAGAGTCCCCCACAATATTCGACAGCAGACAGGATCTTGAATGGCTGGCTCGGTGGCTTTGAGGCAGGCACTGAGCAACCACTGGGATTATATACCCTACTGAGCACATTGGTTCATGGATAACGAGAAAAGTGTCAAGTAGTTTCTACACAGTCTGTTTGGTGGTCCTGACCCTTTTTGTTGATGTCATGTGTTGGCCTTTTTGGACAACCTCAAGTGAGAGTTTGTGCAGAAAACGTATTCTGTGAGGGGGGCGATAGCTCCGAGATTGATGATTTGACGGAAGAGTGGCGCGCACGACTTTGGCCAGGCCGTTTGTCGAAGCGCCTAGCAAGGCATCAATACAAAAACTGTTCAGTGCAAGTTTTCCTAACATCTAGGAACCCAATTATTAGTGCAAGCGTGAGCTATCCTGCGTCCATGCTAGTAGCTTAAATAGCTACTAGCTACCTTTTCTCGGCCTACGTCCCGCCCGCGGGCAAAAACACACATCCAAAAAGAAAGGGTTCAGTCCCATTTTGGTAGGTGACCTGTGCCTCTACGATCACTCTGGGAATCAGAAGCTTAAATTGGCACAGGCCGGGTTTGCTCTTGAGCAGTGTGAGCAGTGAGGCCAGCAGGTACCCACGTTGTCTGAAGGTGTTCAGGTGATTCCACAAACAATGTCCGCTGACCTAACAGAGATCCGCATGGAAGGTCTGCCGCACGCGTATACACAGACCAAGGCAAACTTGACTGGATTGTGGGGCTTCCTGTTCAGGTCTCCAACGTGGATATCTTCAACTGCACTTGTGATATCAGTTTTTTTGATTCTGATGGTACCAGGCTGAGTTGCTCAATGATGAAGCGCGCTACAGAGCAAAGTCACATTTTCAGACAGGTAGACGTTTGCTAGAAGCGGTTCAACCAACACATCAGGCATACAAATGGACAAATGGTTTTGCTGTAATATTATGTAACATTTAAGTTCAACATCGTTCAACATTCAAAGATACCAAGAGAAACTTGGCAGATGTGGCGGGGCTGTCTTGGTGAACGCAAGGTGCACAGCGAGGTCTCGGACCTTTTGCCTTCGTTGGATCCAGTATCCCGGCACAAACTGATATGGGCTATAGCTTATGAACTTGAGATGGAGAAGCATGGGGAAGGAAATTGGAACAAGCTTCACAATGATAAACAAGCGAGAACGGTGCGCTTGGGTCTGGATTTGTGGGAATCCTTGATCCTTGTTGTTCACGTTGGCAAGGTTTGCGACGCTTCCCTCACCTGAGCTCTTCTTGGGACTGGCACCTGGTGAGGAAATCTGCCGGCGTCTGAGGGACGAAGTATGACGAAGTCGAACCAACTTCGACAAGGTGACTCTTTCTTGGACTTGGGAGACTTCATTGATATTCCCGTGGTGACTTTGTTGAAGGAGTGACACATGTGATGGAGATGCCAGGTTCCTCTCTCCTCTTTGCGCCCTCACGAGACTGGTTGGGATGCCCAGAAAGGGCCAATCTCACGTCAAAGCTGTCAGTTGGCCGAGAGAATCGAGATGTCAGCTGAATTGAATTGAGAAACTAGGCAAAACATGGCAAAACCTCCAGGCCTTGTGGTTGAATCCCTGATCAACAGCTTCTAGTTAGATATCATATCGTTTGGTCACAGATAGTAAACCAAAGCTTTGCTTTGGCTCGGCTAGTTAGTTTCACAGTTTTTGGTTTGGTATATATCATTATCATGGTTTCTGGCCGCTTATTTTGCATTTGTGTGGGTTTGTTTCTTCCAGTTCGTATTGTGCAGAAATGGGGATGTCCGGCAGTTTTGCCTGGCGATCCTGGGTGAAGCACCGTTTCGTTCAATTCAAGAGCGCCGTTCAGCCCATGCTCCTGCCTGGCAGCCCAACCAATATGCAGAAAGTGGATCACAATGGCTGCTCGTGCTGCTGCTGCTGCTGCTGCTTCCAGGTCAACCACTATACACTTTTGTAATTTTCAGAAATGGTGGGGCCCCTGGTGCTCTAGAACTCTTGAAGCTACTAACTATGTTTCCGAATTGCCACGCATGTTTCGACATGTGATTGCCTGTTGCCCATGAACCCATCTTAGGTCTTCAAGAAAGTGGAACCTTGAAAGGAACTTGACAGAAACAACGTTCATCGGCCTAAGAACAGCCACGTCTCCATTATTCCGACTCATTTTTTAGATCGTTTTGGGTGTATATTCTAATACTTATGCTTATATAGTCTATGTTTTTTCTTTTTTAATTTATTAAAGGGCAAACTCTGATATTATTGGATCAACTTAAGACATAACATACTATTTTTTGGCGACACTCTTGTTGTTTCAACTTAACTGGCAGTATGATCCCAACTGTGGTGGTTGCACGGAGGCCAAAATTGCCAACATGACCAGTGCCAATGTTCCTGTTTGCATGAGCTACTGCCGGTACTCGTATGTGGGAACTGCGGTCTGGCAATATGACCCAGATTGCCAAGGATGCACGCAGGTGTGCTTGACACAAAACTCCAAGGTAGAGTGCAAGGACTACTGCCAGTACGCGCCTTCGAACGTGTGGCAGTACTCTGCCAACTGTGGATTAACTGATGTGGGAATTACTATTTATGGAAACTGCTCGTATTCACACGCCCCATAAATCAGTGCCAGGTTATATACAATAAGATTGTAGAGCTGAAAGCACATCTACAGACATAGCAAACGGTTTGTGATGATTTGAAGCACCTAAGACCAATTTGAGACCGCGGGGCCACTGGCCTGACAAATCCCATTTGCCTGCTTTGCTTTGCCAAGGCGTTGTCAGTGGCTGCCTCCCCAGAAGAGTATTTGTGAGCAATGGGATTTGCCGATAGTTTTCCATCTTTTTTTTTTTTCTAGCGTGCATTTGCAGCTGTGAAATGAACATTCTAGACTCTAGACATTCTAGACATTTCACCTTATTGTAATGCGTCATTTGGGTAGCCACCACCGTGTTGTTTGGAACCTTGGAGAATTGGGGAACAAAGTTGTAGAGAGACAATGGCAAGGAACACTTACTGTAGTTTTTAGCTATGGCAGCTATACATAGCATGAAATTCAATAACTTTTGACAATCATACGACGAGTATATACTGAAGCTACTAGGGGCTCCTGGAATCGCTACTAGGAGCAAGGCCGCTACTAGGGGCTCCTGGCCTTACTACTAGGAGCAAGGACGCTACTAGTAACAAGTGCATCGCTTCTAGTAACAAGTGCCTTACTAGTAGTAACAAGGACGCTACTAGGAGCGATCGGACGCTACGAACGGAACCAAATCATTCAGGACGAGGTGCCCTACTGCGTCCAGGAGTCAGGACAAGATTGTGACTTGAACTGTCCATGTCCGCCATCGAAGTGCTATGCATTTTGTGTTCTTTTTAGCCTCGGGGATAGGGCTAAGAGCAGGTAGTAGCTACTAAGTAAACTAGGCGCTTGGATGCAGAAGAAGTCTGAGCCTGAATGATTTGGTTGTCCTTGTTCCTAGTAGCAAGGCCAGGAGCTACTAGTAGCGTCCTTGCTCCTAGTAGCGACGCCCTTTGTTCCTAGTAGCTTCCTTTGTTCCTAGATATTTTTGGACATCTAGAAAAGTGCCAGTCAAAATTGACAGCAGGTTTTACTCCTCTCCTCTCCATTGGGGGTCTTGTGCGAAAGGGTCAACTTGTAGGCTGCTTTGGCAGTTGGCTTGGCTTTGATTTGTTTCCTTTTTTTCTTTGATGCTGTCATGATGCTGTTCAGGAGAATAGACCCTGGCATTCAGACCATTCTGAAACGAAAGGCGGTGGTCTATGCGCATTGTGCACAGGGCCACATCATGCAGCAATCCGACGGCCGGTGGTCGTTGGTGCCACGGCTGCATTATGCTACTAGAGACGCTGCAATTTGCTTCTGGTGCTGGTTGGTGGGAAGATGCATTCAAATCTCCAAGGTTGCCCCAGAATCCTTGAAGTGCATAAGTGTTTTGCCTGACCTTGTATCAAGTTTCAATGATTTGGTCTTGCCTCCTTCTCAGGTATCTTTGCTGCGTGCAAAGCTTTCCACATCTTGCAGTATCCTGCTGAGTCTTGAGTTCACATCAACCTTTGTTACTGTGCAATCACAGAAAGAAGTGGATCTGAACTAGTTTAACTAGTTGTGTAGTGTTGCACAGAATAGGTAAGTGTTCAAACAACGCACTGTGGAGTCATTCTGGGCCGCGCAACGTCTAAGTCTATGGCTCTGTTCAGGCATTTGCTCCAAAGAAATTGCCATGGACCGAAAACTGCAGGCAATCAGCAGGGATGATTGAGTTCACCTTGATTAACTTCACTTTGTAGAAATGATTCCCATTCGTCACATGTCATACACACACTTTCATTCTCAGAGGCGCTTAATCACAGTTGAAAGTGGTGTTGCAAAGAAACATTCCCGAGTCTTGTGCAGTGCGCGGTGTGCGGCTTCTATTTGTGCAGCGCCTGTGACCGAAAGGGTCTCTTCAGAGGCCTCTTTGTGACTTTGTGGAGTCAATCAGATTGGACAAAGCAAGACACGAAGCAAGTCTGAATCACTTGAGACGCGAGCGTCACAGTACATGCAATTCTTCATCCCTTCAGCTCGCTGCTCGCATCCGCACTGTGTTGCGGGTGTGATTGAGCCTCATCCAGGATAGGAACACACAGCAGTACAGCGACAATGCAGGCTACTACTCTTTGGGATCCATTGCAGCACCTACAGCGAGGCCGCATTGACTACGCTTGGATTGGTAGAGAGAGAATACAACGTGTCTAGTCGAACTGTGCAGGACGGCTTGAGTTATGCACAATGGTTGCCCTCAATCTTTATTTTATTTTTTCTCTCTCTCTCTCTCTGTATATATAATATTATGTCATTATGTCTATCCCTTTGTACAGCACAAAGACGAGTTGGAACACACCGATGCGAGGCAGCTGCTACAAGAGCCAAGTTGGATTTCCTACAAGGCTCTGAATGGTCCTAAAGTTTGGATGTCCATTTGGCTGGGATTCAATAATAGCTTGAAGGCGAGGCCTTTACGTACTCTTTTTTATCCATTCACTATTCAAAGAATCCAACTTTTGCAAGCCGTGCCGTGTCAGTGGAATTGGGGCAGGTTGCAGACAGTGTTGTGTGGTCTTTTAGAGAAGGCACAGAACATAACAAAACAGAGACACCATCTCAAAAAGTTACGGACCTTGCCTCTACTGCCCCTTGATTCAGGCAATGCGGTACTTGGCAGCAGCTGGGAAGCCTGGTGGCCCGCTGCAGCCTTGGATTCCCGGAGACAGGTGTCTCATATTCTCATATCGACTTGGCTCATATCATGTTAGAGCACTTAGAACTTCATATATGTATATAATGACTGTATCGCAGCCCTCTCTCTCTGATTAAATCATATCGAGTCCTTGCTTGCTATTCATTGTTGTTTCTTGAGTTGTTTTTTGAAACATACAATACTCCTTGGACTCCACAACGTTTGTTTGTGAGTTTCTGTGAGAAACTCAGGTTGAGTTTGGACATATGGCAAGGAAAGCTTGCAGCGCGGAGTTGCTGGCCCGTCTTCGTCCGAGCCCGTTGTGCCGACTAACGGCTCTGTTTGGTTGTCCATGTTATGTCATGCATCCGTTGACTTCTGTAAAACATGTGACACATGGCACATGTACAGTACCAATCTCTACACCTGTTATCCAACGGAATATCGGAATACCATATAGGTTTTGGCTGGTTTTGCACTTTGAAGTATGCCAGGGTCTATGGTGATTTGGGGCAAGACCTGCCCAGCAAGGTGAGAGGGAGAGAATGGGAGGGAGATGAGACTCTCAAGGGCCTTAAGGGTATGCCATGCCCTCTACAAAGACATGCAATTGGAACTGGTCCAGCTTGTCAAGGAAGAGCTCATACGCCAATTCCGCCACTATGCAGACCAGGGTGATGGGTGCTGGCCCAAGCTAAGATGCAAGACAGGGAGCAGGGATTTGTGAGGCCGTGAGGCCTTGAAATTCTTCGGACACGCCAGGTCACTCAATCTGGATATCTCGCAGGATCAATTCTGCGCACTCCTGATGCTCGACAGCAAATTTGCATCTGCACAGCAAAAGCATCAGGATCTCACAGCCACCCTTTATGTGTTTGAAGCCGGCTTCCCACAACCTCGCACATGATAATTACTATATGTAAAACACTCCTTGAAGGAACATTTTTTTGCTAAAGCAGTCCAACGACACGAATCAAAAAGTATCGCATGTACTGTACATCTTGCAGAGGGAACCAATTTCAAAATCAACATTTTGCAGATCAGATCAGAATATTTTATCAATTTAGCTCATGCACACCTGCAAACGGATGTGATCCAAGGAGCGAGATGCTGGCAACACACTCATTCATGTTTCACCTTTGAGCCATCTCGCCTGTGTGGTCAGTTTGGCATCAATGCGTAAGAACAAACAGCCTCAAGCGCTGTGAAGTCACTAGTAGTGCTGGCTTTCCAAAGAGAAAGTAAAGTGCTCGTGATACGACAACGTTCTTCCAGCTGTTGCATGTTTTAGATCTTGTGCTCAGTGCTTACATTCCTGAAATGATACATCATTTGAAGCTTTGCTAGCTTCCGGAAGAAGTCGTGAAGTTGCCAATGCAAGCATCTGACAGATGTTTTTCAATCAACGACCGTGAGACTCAAAAAGGATCAAAAGTAAAGATGTTTCGCAAATGGTGGGCGGTCCGTGAACACACCTTCCTTGCATATTTTTTAATAATCAAAAACCGATTCGTGTCGAGTGCATGCCACATTGATGGACATCACTAACTGCCTAGAATCATCCAGATGAAAGAAACGCATCAATAATATACACAGTAATACACTATAATATGTGCATATATTGTTATATTAAATTGTTGTTTTTGTTTTTACAATCCCTCTGACGTTCAGACCACATTTTTTTTTAGTTATTCCTTTTCCTTCGTTCTTTGAGTTTCTTTAAACTGTAGACATTTTAGACAACTATTTATTTTCCTTTCTTTTTAAGCTTTCTTTTCGCAATGCTTTTCAAAGAACTGTATGCGCAGCCATAGCGAGCTGTAGAGCGGCCTGCCTGAGATCAGGGTGCGGCGAGAGCCAGGCAAGCCGGCAACCAAGATCTTGATAGGTCCAAGAGGTTTTGGGATGTCAATGAATTTCCTGTTGAGCTTTTGTGTTGCAATCAGTTTCTTTTTCACACTCTCCAGCCTTGTCTTGACCTTTTGAAGGCCATGGCCACGCCGAATTTGCACCTGAGGAGTTCAAAGGTGCAGTAACATGCAGAGCTTTGACTTTTGGACACTCAACATGCATGACAGCATGGCTTTCGTGCATTGAATGAATGAATCCAATGCTTTTCCTTGTTTTGTGGCGGTGGTTAGGCCGGTGAACTGAAAAGTACTTCAAGCAGCTAGTAGTAAGGGGTAGCTACTGATCGATCCAGAAAAGCCTTTGCACTATTCTTGTTTGTTCCCCTCCTAAGAGCGATGGCCTCCAACCTAATAGCGATGGGCTCCAACCTAGTTTTTTGGGAAACGTGACAGTGATAGATGATCACCTGCTTCTCTGCCATGTCACTTTCGTGCCCTTTGACCATGCAGGGGACAGCCAGCATTTCAAGGCGATCTTCAGTGCTTCGCAGGCAAACTGAACACCCAGCGTGAAGTATCTCATCAAAGTTGAGTTGAACTTGTTTCTGTTGATGGGTACATGGTGTGAGAAGCAAGACTTCATAACATTATAGAATGATCAGTGACACTGAGATGCAGCATTTGGTTTGCATGTTGACTCAACTTCGTCCTGCACTTTACACCCCTTTAAACCCTTTTTGGTTTCTCCCAGGCTGTGAACGGGAGAGGTCTTGTAGTTCGATATTAGTACCGCAAACGAACAAAGTGACTAGCTGATCATTCCTTACTACTAGTAACAAGAAGCTATTACTAGTAGCAAAGGGCATCGCTACTAGGAGCAAGGACGCTACTAGGGGCTCCTGGCCTTACTACTAGCAACAAGAAGCTTTCGAGCCTCTTCATATTCCAGTTTGGGCGCCTGGCTTTGGGCTGAGACAACTTTTTGACAGCAGGCTGCTGTTTGGCAGCGTTGCGGCAGCTTTGCTGGCAGCAGGTCGGAGCCAGGTTTTGCTAGCTTAGTCCCTGATCATAAATCATGAAACCATGCATAGCTGCTGCAACAGAAAAGGCAGTAGACAGTTTTCACACACCTAGCCAACAGGGCATGTATCCAGTTGAGTTGCAGGCAGCTTGCGCCTGGGACGGCATTTTGACGCTTCCGCCAATCCAGGTGGCCTAGCCCAGATCCAACTTGCTTGTTTCGTGGAGTTTTGCAGGGTGAAACGTGTGAATGTAGGCATATCATGGTACATGTATTTGTACAATTGCAAAGGTATACAAGTACGTGCAGTATCGATACATAATTAAGCGAGATTGATGGACTACTGGCCTATATACTGGCCTTCATTTTTGGCCAGGAGCCGACTCAGCAGAGGCCCTGCATCCCATTCAGAGTTTCCATTGTTTGTCGTGTTCCTTGGGACGTTTTCTGAACCCCAAAACTATTCAACAAGTGTCAACAAGTGTTGGACACTTGAAAGCACGCTTTGTTGACTGATTGCACGTATGATTTGGCTGAATCTAGGCCTGTTGAAATGCCGCTGCTTTGCCAGATCATTAATATATTATATACATATTTTTTTGGGGTGCAGACTGACTGATTTTGCATGTCCTTCGGCCTGTACACACGCTAGGCTGCTGCGCCTGATGCTGAAACGGCACATCAGCTTAGGAGAGCTACTTGGAAACCCGTCAATCTACCCACACAGAGGATTAATGAAATCAGAAATCAGATATGATATGTTGATGATCGTTGATATCGATTTCTGCTTCAGCGTCGCAACCCTTGATGGGGTTGCTGTTGCATGCTGCACTGAAGCGAGGACCCAAGTGGCAGGACCCATGCGTGACTGGTGGAAGCCCTGCGCACTAGTGGGTGGAACTTGTGCTTTGGATGCAGACACGGCTCTCAAAAGAACTTGATGTTGCTTCGATTCCACTGTCATGTCACGCTTCATTACAAAATCACTGCTTCTGGTCTGATGGACGGGCTACTCTCTTCAGATCCTTTTGCCCAGTATGATCCGACTTGGTTTGGGTGTGCGACTTGTGTATACTGCAATCGGGCAACGCCAACATGCAACTAGGAACCTACGCAATTCCGTTTGGCCGCTGAAGTATAGGTGGTGAAACAACTACTGTATTTCCAAAGACCTCGAACGATCGATCGCATTTCAGAAAAAGACGGATTTTGGTTGATTCTGAGGTCAGTGCGTGGGCACTCTTGCCACGTCCTGAGCATGATAGGACTGGGGTTGAATGCCGACTTGTGTTTATATTTTTATACCACAGTTACTGTAACATGATTGACTTGACTAGGTGCTGCGGTCGACAGAGCATTGAAGCTTTGCACTGGTTCGGGTTCAAGCTTGACCCCGAAGCTCTCGTCCAACGTATTGAAACTCTTTGTCTCCTACAAATGAGCCCTTGGACATTCAAGGTTTTTAGCACAATCCTCGGAGATGCTGTGCGAGAGATCAACTCGGATGGAGAGGCAATTGGGGCGGAGAGATTGCAAGTAGTAGTGGTGGTGGTGGTAGTATTCATTATCTAGTGTTGTCAGCGATGTCATCGATTATGGCTGGATTTGAAGAGTTGCTCACGTAAAGATCAGGAGGCAATTCAATTGGATCACTCGCTTCCAGAATGAGAACAAGTTGACACAGACTTTGCTTTTCAGGTATCATGTACAGCGGAGGCAGGATGCCCCTTTTGCTGATCGAAACAACAACCGACCACTTTCAGCCTTGAGAGGCACATTCTAGTACTTTAAGTTAAAAAGAAGTTGACTGGTTGAAGGATGTTGAAGCCACGGAACAGATGTAGCAGAGTGAGTGAGATGATTCAGTCAATTCGACACAGCCAATCACCACTTACAGTGCACAGGTGCGACATGCCATGTTTGTGTGCACGACATGTGATGCCTACGGAAACCTTGAAGAACTTGACCCTCCATGGCCAGGCCCTTGGGGCACCGGCCAGCCGAAATTTGAAGATGTGCTGGTGCCAGGAGTTCACAGTCTGGCCACATCAACGTCTCATGAGACATAAGGGTTCGAAGGCAGTGTGAATACAGTTTACTATATTGTATTTTCATGTCGCAGGAAGGGCTTGAATGGGACAACGAAGTGCGAAAGGGATTGGCTTCACTGGCAGCTCGTCAAGCACCGTTTCAACATGTATCATGTTTGAGCATTTTCTATCAATTCATTTGTCGCATTTAAGAACCTGAACAAGCCTGTCTACTTTGCACTAGAGGACGCTACTAGGAGCAAAGGGCATCGCTACTAGGAGCAAGGACGCTACTAGGGGCTCCTGGCCTTACTACTAGGAACAAGGATGCTACTTGAGGTGCGACAGGGCTTGA